TAACGGTCATGATGATTATGATAATAATAGCAGCTGTCGTTTGTTTCTATGTATAAAAATACCTTACTGTGGTCTGAACTGAAGATTCTTCTTTGAGAATTAGAGCAGTGTACTGGGCATTTAGCTAGGTGCTTTTCTTAAATTCCCTTTAAACTTCACAATAACTCTGTTGTAAGGCAGAGGTGATTATTCCCTAGGTAGGGAGACTGAGGCACAGAAAGGTTAACAAGAAAATAAGTGGGTTTTTTCCATCCAGGATTGGGTGACAGGCATGGGGAAGGAACAGAGGGCTTTAGGGTGTATAGGTGGGTGTGGATATATTGTAGAAGCTATTGCTTCTTTATTTCTTCATTTCTTTTTTTTTTATTAGTTTATTTATTTATATTTGGCTGCTTTGGGTCTTCGTTGCTGCGCACTGTCTTTCTCTAGTTGTGGCGAGCAGGGGCTGCTCTTCATTGTGGTGCGCGGGCTTCTCATTGCAGTGGCTTCTCGTTGCGGAGCACGGGCTCTAGGCGCGCGGGCTTCAGTAGTTGCAGCACGTGGGCTCAGTAGTTAAATATGTATATGTTATGTGAAATATACTTGGAAGGTGTACAAATATATTAAATATTTATAATGATACTTTAAAAAAACAACACCTCACTCATCATCTTCGGAGGGTACTAAAGAATCAACTTGATTTGAAACCCGGGTCACATAACAGAAGAATCAAGCATTTATCCACATGAATGATGGTGAGAGGCCCACGTACCGCAAAAAAAAAAAAAGCAGCCTTCTGGGCTTTTCACCTACATGTTTATAGCATATTGCCCATGTAAGTGTGGACTCATTTCTGGCCTCTCTGTTCTGGTCCATTGAGCTGTATGTCTGTTTTTGTGCCAGTACCATACTGCTTTGATTATTGTAGCTTTGTGGTATAATCTGAAGTCAGAGAGCATGATACCTCCAGCTTTGTTCTTCTTTCTCAAGATTGTTTTGGCTATTTTGGACCTTTTGTGCTTCCATATACATTTTAGAATTATTGGTGGGCCAGGCTGGGGCCCACAGGATCCTGGGGCTGGTGCCCACCCACTGGCCTAGTTCTGGCTCACTGGTGGGCAGAGCTGGGTCCTGGGGTCTCTGGCTCTAGGGCCTTGCGTGTCCCAGGGTTGGTGTGTTGGCCCGCTGGTGGGTTGGACCAGGGCCCTGGGGTCCTGGGGCTGTTGCCTGCCCACAGGTGGGTGAGGCTGGTCCCAGGGCTAATTCTGGTACACTGGTGTGTGCAGCCAGGTCCTGGGGCAGCTGTGGGCTCAAGGGTTCTTAAGGCAGCCAGCCTGCTGATGGGTGAGGTTGTCTCCCTGCCTGGCCAGTTGCTTGGCCTGAGGCGTCCCAGTTGTGATGTCAAAAGGCTGATGGGCAGGGCTGTTTCCCAGTGCTAATGAACTAGAGGAAGGACTCCAAAAGGGCACTTGCCAGCACCACTGTCCTTGTGGTAGAACAGCGTCCCTGAATGGCTCCCATCAGTTGTGTCCCCAGGGTGAGCTCCAGGGGACTCCTGCCTCTCTAGAATGTTCTCCGAGATAAGCAGGTGTATCTGACCCAGGCTCCTTTCAAGTTACTGCTTCTGCCCTGGGTCCTGGATGTGTGAGATTTTGTGTAGATTTTTAAGAGTGGAGTCTCTATTTCCCACAGCCCTCTGGTTCTCCTGAACTTAAGCCCTACTGGCCTTCAAAGCCAAACACTCTGGGAGCTCATCTTCCTGGTGTAGGACCTCCACACTAGGGATCCCAATGTGGGGCTCAGATTCCTCACTCCCTGGGGAGAACATCTGCAACCTGTAATTATCCTCCTATTTGTGGGTCGACCATCTGGGGTTATGGGGTGTCAACTGTACCACATCTCTGCCCCTCCTACCCACCTTGTGGTTCCTTCTTTATATCTTTAGTTGTAAATCTTTTTCTGCTCATCTTCTTGTCTTTCTCATCAATAGTTGCTCTGTAAATAGTTGTGATTTTGGTGTGTCAGTGGGAGGGGTTGAGCTCAGGATCTTCTTACTCCACCATCTTGGCCACACCTTCTTTAATCCCCATGTTTTCTTTTAGGAGTTTTACACTTTCAGGTCTTAGGTTTATGTCTTTAATTCATTTTGAGTTGATTTTTGTGTATGGTGTAAGATAAGGGTTCAACTTCATTCTTTTGCATGTGGATATCCAGTTTTTCCAAAACCATTTGTTAAAGAGACTATCCTTCCCCTATTGTGTATTCTTGGCACTCTTGTCAAAAATCTGTTTACTGTATATGTATGGATTTATTTCTGGAGTCTATTCTGTTCCACTGACCTATATGTCTGTCTTTATGCCAGTATTATATTGTTTTAATTACTTTAGATTTGTGACATATTTTGAAATCAAAAAGTTTGATGCCTCCAACTTTCACCTTTTTCAAGATTATTTTGTTTATCTGGGGTCCTTTGGGATCCATATTAATTTTTATTTATTTATTTATTTAAATTGAAGTATAGTTGATTTACAATACTGCATTAGTTTCAGGTGTACAGCAGAGTGACTCAGTTATACATGTAAATGTATATATCTGTATTCCTTTTTTTCAATTCATTTCCATTATAGTCTATTACAAGATATTGAACATAGTTCCCTGTGCTATACAGTAAATCCTTGTTGTTTATCTATTTTATATATGGTAGTGGGCATCTGTTAATCCCATACTCCCAATTTATCCCTCCCCCTCTTTCC